TTTTTTTTTTTTTTTTGAAATATCACTTGTATGTTCTTATTGTTTCAGATTCCTGAAAGTGAGACTTTGAAATCAGGCAGTTTACGAACAAGAGTATCTCGATGTCAAGTGTGCATTAAATCAACGGACACGGATGATTATCGCGCCAACTACTCATAGACCAGTCGCCATGACAAATTAATTTACATCAGATGTTATTTTTTTGAGGTATTAATGTGATCTACGTACGTTGCATAGGAATCATCACTTTTGACAACCAGTTTGTTTTGTATAGTACCAGTCTTTTCTGAAAATGTCGGAGCTCTTCTCGTTTTGCAATTACAAAAAACTTTAATTTTATTAAAACAAAGATTCTAGATATCTTTGCAGTTTTTATTAAGCAGAGATCTAAGGACTGAATCAAAAGTGTTTATTTGTTGGAGCATCGATCTATTCAGTTAAGTCATCGTTGTATCTGGAAACTTGTAAAAAATCCCTGCTCTGCGCAGTTGTATTCTGACTTGATGAAACTGCATCATGTGACACCCCATATAGTCATAAATAAGGGATAAATGTTTGTTTTAAAGAAGTGATAAGCTGTTAATAGATAAAATTTGAATCAGACGTTAACAACTGTAAAGTTACACTTAGACAAAAATTTTTTTTGTCGCTGAGTTGTACTATTGCCAATTTTTTTACTCGATTATTTTCTGTAGCTGTTCATAGTGTCGAAATTGAAAAAGCATTATACATAACTGATTATCACCGGTACAAGCCAAAAACGTATCTTCAGTATTGTTGCAGTCCTTGTCGTCCATCGATAGAAACACATTATTTTTTGTTCTGAAACCAAATTTAACGCAAAAATTTTGCATTGCTTTTGGTAAAAGTCATTGGCGTCGCAGTATAATTAGCTAGTTAATAGGTGGATGGTAGTTAAATGGTTATTCAAGTTTTCATACAGCTGTTTAAGTTAACTTGTTTCATTGAATAGCATCTAGCATTACTGTACATAAAGTTCCTAGTTAAAGGTATTGTAGCAAATGAGCATCAAATGAAAAAAAGTTTGTTGAAAAGACTGAAAAACGTGAGTATTTTTATAGGGAATTTTAATTTTCATGTAACAAACAAATTATCTGATAGTTGTTGTTAAATTTTCTTTCAAAAAGAAAAAAAAGGATATTAACAGCATCACTGTATCCAATAAACACATACAGATATAAAATTTAATAAGTAGAAAAAAATTAACTGTGTCGACGAAACAGATGGAATAAAACGCACTCTTACACAGACAGAAACAAACAAAACGAATGAACGTACGAACGAAAGAACAAAGAAACAATAAAGAAGGAAAACGAACAAACATGGAAATAAGAAAAAAAAAAGTAATTCAAAGCTATACCACAACAGTGATTTACCTATATCGTCAGCAAAAAAATGGTGAGCAATTTATAACATTACATTAATTGGGATACACTTTACATTAAAAAATATTACAACTCAAAAACAGCAACAAATATTTGAATTGATATGGTAATGCAGAAGAGTGGTTAAGTAATCGCATTTGTAGAACAAA